TCATTGAAAAGGGTGGGTGCTGTTTGCTTTTTCAACAACTGCAGTTTAACTTTCTTGAAATTGGAATGCAGGGAAACAAACCTGTCAAACAAGTGGGAGGTTGCAAGATCTAGGGGAAAGACAACCTGCTGATGCTTATCTAAGTGACCAGTCATTTGTAACTGCATCACTTTTGCTATGGATTCAGGTGCTATCTCTGAGTAGTAAAACTCCCTCTGGGTATCGGAGAATCACTGGTTGTTGTGGGAAAGCCGGCACACTCACACGCATGTTCAGACTGAGCTGCAAGGACCCTGGATAAGAACACTAAGGATATGTGTGCTGGCTCTTTGTCTTCATGTCTCTTACTTTTTAAGGTATTTTCACTTCTTTTCCAAATTTATTTTTGTCTTTGGTGGCTTAATAAATGGTTTTCAATATCCTTTATTAAGGCATCCCTGATGACTTTGGGGCTAAGTGTCAGTGCTGTCACCTCCAAGGCCTGAGTTGATCCCCAGCCAGGGAGCTGACCCACATGGTGCAGCAGACCTGTCCTGTCTCATCTACTTCTCTCCTCAGCAGTGTATTTCAGTCAGTCTGCCTGTTCTATTCCCCAACTGTCTCTGGTGAATCCTCTCACCCCCCTGCACCTCCACCCTGTTCTTGAGTGCATACATAAACTTAAAAAAAAAAAAGGTAAAATAAAAAAAATAAATTTAAAAAATAAAATTAAAAAAAACAAGGTAAAGAAAACAGGACTGTCTTTGCACATTGTCATCTAGAACACAGATACATAACATAGGACAAGTCAAAGGTCCTGAAACTGAAAGGCAGCCTTTGTTTTTCCTTAGCCAATAAAAGGAAACAGAATTTAAGGAGAAGGAAATTAGTTTCTCAACAAATTGTGGAGGGCAGCAGACTCATGTCTGAAAGACCACTGTCTTCCTTTTTGGCAGAGGCCTTTACCCAGAGTTACAAGGAAGTGGAAGGGGGGAGGTGGGCAAGAGTCAGTATGTTTATTCTTGTGAGGCCTCTGGAAAATTTGGGGAGATTCAGTTTGGCGCCACCTTGCTTTGCTCTCACCTGGTAGTCAGCAATTTCCATGCTTTTTTAGAAGTGCTCTTTTTTCCTTGGAATGTAAGAAAACAAGGTTGTTAAAACAAGGTTGATGGTCTGGTGGGACAGGAAGAGAGAAATGTCCTTTTCACTACATCATTCCTGTTTCAGTGTTCCCTATAACATGACCAGTGAGTGAGAGTCAAATGTCCAGGAAAGTTGGAAAGTGGCACTGGAAGTGCAGGCCTGCACCCTACTCAGGGCGCTGGAGCAGACGGGCTTGGGCTGAGTATCTGGCAGCCTGACCTTCTGGATTTATACCATGTCCAGACCTGGTTCTCTAGCTTTCCTGGTACAAGGGCTATAACTATTCATAGTACTAGGCTCAAGTTTAAAAACACCAGAGGGAAGAAAGAAACACTTTCTTCTGCTCTTATGATCCATAGTCCTAGACACAAGCTAAGACAATCTCAGGCTAAGTCACATTTCTGAGGGCAAGAGAGGGAACTTCTGTTGAGAGTTGGGCTGTACTCCAGGTCTCTCCTACCCTGATCAACCCTGCCCTGGAGGCCGGGGAAGCCTGGTGTCTCAAAAGGACCTCTCATCTAGGGGATTTCAGGCAGTTCGTGAAACAAACAAACAAAAAACCCTGAAAGGAAAGGTCATTCTTCAGGCAAAGTCAATAGATGCTGACAATGCATAATTACAGGATGCCAGAACAGAAAGTGTTACAGGGCAACCCCAGTGTGAAGTGGGTTGGCCTGACTGTGGGTGCTCACCCACACTCTTAAAAAAGACTTATAATGAGACTCAACTGCAGGCACACACAAAAAGGTTAACCAAGCGTTTATTTCAAAAAGGGAAATGAAGAGAGGAATAACCTGAGGTGAAAGAGATTAATTGGTGAACACATCCTACTGTAA